AGAAAAAAGAAGAAAAAGGTAAAGATACAAATTATGAACAACAAATACACATCTATCAACAAGTGAATCTAAAAATCAAGTGAATAAATAATCTGATGAACAGAATAAACTGGTGAATATAATAGAATCAGGGACATAGAAAGGGAGTGGAATGAGAATTCTCACGGGCGGAGTGGTGTGGGGGGTGTGGGAAGAGACTTGACAAAAATTGTACAGCTATGGATGAGGACAGTGGGGGTGGGGGTAAGGGCAGAGGGTGGGGTGGGAACTATGGGGGGGAAAAAGAGGAACAACTGTAATAATCTGAATAAAGATTTAATTTTAAAAAAAGAATTATCAGTGGATGCAAAAACTAATGGGTAAAAGGCTAATGGGAAATTGGGTGTCAGCTTCAGATTACAATGCCAATCACAGGGAGAAAGCATAATTTCGAAGTGGACTAACAGAGCTGTTATCATCTGCACAGCCACCCTTAAGTCACGTATAGGGACAACCATCCAGATACAATGCAATATAAGTGCTATAGCACTTATGAAATATTTAGGTTAAGCCAAAAATGCTTAACCTAAAATTCAGCAAGCCCTTACATGTACCTTCCAGTTTATATGAAACATGAAAATAGATGAACAAATTAACCCTATGGAAAAGCAATCTAACAAACACAGAATTGAAATATTCCACAGGACAACTTAGTCTTCCCATATTCAACATCATGAACAAATAGGGAATGGTGGGCGGGGGCTGAGGGTAGGGGGAGGATCTGTTCTGGATTAAGAGATGTAACAACCAGAGGCAATAGCTAGACCTTCATTAGATCCTCCACATCCACATACTCCCTCGTTAGTGCTCAGGCCTCTGCACGAGGCACTCTTGATCAGAGGGCTTTTTCCTGCCATTATGTCCACAACAGCAGGCTGCTGCCCTCCTCACTCTTCCTGAAGCTTGCTCTGTAGTTCCTTATTGTACTTTCATCCTTGATGTGCTATATATGCGTGTGGTTGCTTATTGCCTGTCTCCAATAAAATGTAAGGTTCCACAAGAATAGGTCCTTTGTCTCTTCCATTCACTATTGTATTCCTAGCATCCAGAACAGTGTTAAATAAATGAATAATATTATGACCATTAGATGTAAAACTAAATGTACATTTTTCTTTTCTCCAGAGAATACTGAAACAGAAGGAGTGTCTTCTTTGGTCCTGAAAATTGTGCGGTAATAATCATGTATCTCTTTTTATGTGTGGAATTACCCTCCTTGTAAAAGAAAACAATAAAACAAATCTCTGAGGCTTAAAAGTATTTTGTTCACACTCTATGGCTATAAATCACTTCTCTTTCCTAGTAAGAGAAGCTAAAAATATGGAATAATTATGTAGTCTCAGTTTTCTAAATACAAACATGCCTACTGAGTAATTAAATTGAAATAAGAAGACCAAACTTCATAGCACTTTTCAGTACGTGCAGGTATATTTACTTATTTTATCATCTATCACTCTCCTCACCTCCCCCTCCTTAGAACACAAGCTCCATTAGAGCAGGACTCTGTCTGTCTTGGTCACTCCTGTATCCCCAACTCTTAGTGCCCGACACAGAGCAGGCACTCAGAAAAGTGAAATAGTCAGTTTTGCTCAATTTCATGTGAAGTCCAATGTGGTGCACGCATGCCCTGTCTTCTGACAAGGACATTATTGTTATCAAATCACCTCTCGCGGCTGTTCTATCTACAATGTGCCTTCATCCTCCACGCTTTGTTTCGATACATGAAATAAACTTGTAGAAGTGTTAGTTCATGAAACATATGCCTACAATTTTTTAACTTAGCTAGTAAATGATACCAATGTCATTTTTTTTAATCTTTGAAGCCAAAGCTAATTTGGATTTTTGAGATGGCTGCTAGATTTCATTCTCTCCCTTTCATTGAGAACAATGAGAATCTAAAGTACTTTTTTAACAGTTTCTAAGATGTATACATTACATGGAAATGCTTATACTTCAGAAGATGGTAGTAGGATGTCATATAAACTGGCCAGTGAACTGCGGGTTAAATAATCCCTGCTGGAATTCTTGTGAAAAAGGCAGACAACTTCGTCAATGGGGAAGTTTATGTACAACTCACCCCACTTTCTCTCACTACCCCTCCATCCCCCGCTTCTGATTCAAATTTTAAAGTTATCCCTGGAAGGGCACCCATGTTTTGGTATAAGCTTTGCCTGTTGCATGGCCACTCTTCAGGGACTATTTTTAAAAAGTAACCAGACTAACATTAAGGGGACTGAGGGAGCCTTGGCAAAATGGCAGGGTTAAGCAGGCCCTGAGGCCGCGACACATAAAGGTGCTCGTCAGAGCAGAAGGGGCACTTGCAGTGGAGGCCGCCCGCTCCCTCAGCCTCCCCTTGAGATAGACTGCATCCAGGCTGAGATGAGTGTATTTACCCTCTCCCTGGTGGCATGCAACCAGGGTGAGTGAAGGCGTTGCCTGCTCTCTCCTCTCCTGGTGGCAGAAGATGAGCAAGGGAGCCCGGTGGAGAAGCAACTGGGAAGAGACCCTCCTTCTGGCAGAATGGAATGAACTGGGGGCTGCACTGTCTCAAGAATGTAAAAAACTTGCCAGGAATCCCAAAGAAGATAAAGGGGTGCGGCTCACATTTGTCATCATGATTGTGAACATTCTTTGTAAGAAACGATAATAAATCTGGTCACTTGATATGATGTGTGGCAGACAGGCATATTTCTGCAGCAGCTTCTCATGGGTTCTCCATTTTAAAGAGGCTGCAGCTCGCTGTTCAGCAGCCGTGAGTGCTGGAATCAAGTCAGGCAGGGATGGCAGCTGAAACGGAAAACACCAAAAGAACCAGCGATAAATAAGTCAACTGCAGGATTCCGTCAGATGGGTCAGCTAACAACACACTGCGGAAGGCAGTTCATTTCAGAACATCGGAGGCATCTCAGTTGTCACAGGGAGATAATAATCTGATTAAATCAAATACTTAAAAAATATCCAAAAATAAAATTTATTAGTTGCTGGAAACAAAATTTTGAAATAGAGACTGGGACTCTCACAATCCTTCTAATTAAAGTTTATTCTATTTCACTGTCAGCCAACTTTGACTTTCTAAATTCCTACTCCTTTGTCCTTACAAGTTGTTATTTCTGGAATAATCTACACTAATAAAAGAGAAACATGGTAATTGACCTAAACAAAACCCCAGAAACCAGCTTTCAGCGAGCCGGGATCTCAGAGCTGGAGTTGATACAGAGTTTCGATTATAGAACCGAAACAAACCAGATACCTACTTTCAGCAGTGGAGGCCTGAGAGCTGGAGCCTCAGACCTAAAGCTGGCCCAGAATTAAAAAAAGAAAAAAGAAAAAAAGGAGCGGTTGGGAGCTTCCGTCAGCCCCAGCCTGAAAAGAGCCCTCAGCCCCTCACCCAGGCTGGCCAGACACCTCTAGTAATGTGAATAAAAAGTGAAAATATGAATGTAAACTCCAAGGACTATAAGTAAAGCCATGATAGTGTACGAATTGTAGAGGAAATTCAAGCTGCTCAGACTCCAACAGGCATTTACTGAGCACCTACTATGTGTCAAGCACTACTTAAATGTTTCCCACAAAGCCTTTCACTGACCCCTCACAACTCTGTAGAGAGAAATAGTACTTCACAGCATTCAGAAACTTTTTGACATAGGGGATTACCTTATTTTCTTGAATACTGCTTTCTCCACCCATAGACATAAGTTCCAGGATTTCTGGAAGATGATCTATAAGAGCATCTAGTACCTTTTAATAGAGATAATGATTATTCTTGTGGCAATTACAATGTTTTTCTAATCTTAGATTAGTTAACTCCACATGTCAATTCCTACACAGAAACAGTGCTATTTACCAAACAACATTTTGGAGGGTTCTATTTTCTTACTTTCCTTACCTCTTCTTGCTGGAGGGTCTTAGAGACATGATCAACTGCCTTGATCAAACTACCTATCACTATCACACTATCAAACTATACTAACCTATACTGCCTCTTAATATGTTTAAACAGTCTAGATCTGAGACAGCTACACATCAATCTGCTCAAACACGTTTGAAAAGCACCCCCAAGTGATGTGGAGTTGCATTGTAGCAAGCTAGTATCATTTAGGTGGATAGAATATATTAACTACTGCATCAAAATTAAGTATTTCAAAGCCTTCACAAGTATACTGCCCAAGTAATGCTGAGAGAAAAAGATATAAAATGTGATATAACATAGGGTTACAATTGTGTAAAATAAAAACCTTTATATAGAAAAAAAATGAAAAAATTTAACAAAATACTAATAGTGACTGGAACTAAAGGTACTCACTCTTTTAAAAGTTTGTCTACTTTTTGGCATTTCCAAAATTTTCCTGAACAAACCAATATATATGTATATAGAGGGTGTCCCCAAAAAATGTATACACACTTTGAATAATTATTAATTCCAATGGATTAAATCTGAAAAGAAAGAAACATGAATTGAGCTATCAGCTTTTAGTAGCGTATACATTTTGGGGGGAACACTATATACATATATATAATTATTTTAACTAAATATATTTTAAAACCTAATTTTTATAAGAGACCATCCCAACTTTCAGTCTCTGATACAATGGTACATGGATTCCAAGCTTCTGGGGCTGGTCAACTGAAAGGCCATGCAATTCCCAAGAAGTAGGGGGAAGGCACTGATGTATTCAGACTTAACATAAAACAAGTAAAACTCAAAAAGAAATTACCTCCAGTGATTCATCTTGTAATAATGTTATTAGTTCTTTGTGTATTAAATATACTCCAGAATTCAGAAGTTTAGACACCTAAAATGTAGCAATAAAGTCTCTCAGATTTGACTCTACTAGACATATAAAGGTTGTAATAACAATTCTTAAAATTACATCCCTGTTAGGTACTTCTAAAATGAGACTAGGTTAAAACATAAATACAACATTAGATTTCTAGAAAAGTTAGTTGCATACATGACTAGCTTTATAGTCTGCTAGAACATGCTGCAGTGTGCGAACATATGAGGGTGAGAAATGAACCTATGGATGGAAGTGCAGGAAACTGAGTGTATCAGAGTCATAACTTCGCTATCACAAGCACCAGAGAGCCCAGGGTGCCTCCCTGCACGGTGGGAAGCCTCAGAGCAGCCATCAGGTCCACCAGGGCTTCTCGGGTTTATGGGCATCCATCCCAGCTCAGAGCTTCTGAGAGAGGCAATTGCTACTGCAGGCCCACGACACAGGTAGGGACAGTGCCTACGCGAGCAAAAATAAAGGCTTTTCTATCAGAGACTTCAGTCAGCATGCGAGGGGTTGGGACAGTCTAGCCTAAAGTAAGCACTCATATAAATATATTGAATGAATGGATTAATAAATGATAAAAATATAATTTTTGTAAACCAATTTTATAAACATTCTAAGAAGATAATTAAGAAAATTTTTAAAAAGATTTAGGACTAGACTGTGAAAAAAATATATAGAGCTTATATTTTCTAATACATCTATAAATAGAAGTGTACAAAATACCAAATAATCATCTAGTTAATAGGTAGAATTAACAACAAATGTATCACTTCTTCAGACTTACTTCATAAAAGCAAATGGCAATAGTGTATCTGACGGGTACCTCAGGGTCATGACAAAGGCAAAAGAATGTAGAATAGAGTTCCAATTGGAAATTTTTAGGGTCAACAAAAACAATCATGGCCTGGTGGAGGTGGAGGGAGAGAAAAGCATGCATCAATACATAATATTCATTTCACTTAAATTGAGATCATGTCCTATGAATCATAATTTACTTAGAAATCATATTTGAAAGATCCAAATGTATGCATATAATTCTAATCCTATATAATAAAAGCCTAATATGCAAATTGTCCCCTCATTGGGAGGTCTACTGGGAGTTTGACCACTTGCTATGATGTGCGCTGACCAGCAGGGGGCCACGTGGAACATGGCAGGCGTCTGCGATGCAGCACTGTCAGTGGGCAGTGCTGGCAGTGGGCGTCACTGGAGGCGCTGCCGGCCCTGATGGGCCCCGACAAGAGCTGGACACGGTGGGATGGTGGAGCAGGTGAGGGGGCAGCGCCAGGCCAAGTCAGGGTGCCAGGCAGGGCTGTGGGGCTGTGAGGCTGGGGGTGCAAGCTGGACCTCAGCTCGTGCCCCCAACCTTGCAGCTCACCCTGAAGGACCCCACCCGTGCACAAATTCATGCACTGGGCCTCTAGTTTATACATAGTCAATGTAAATTACACCAATATTTACTAGGTACCTACTATATATACCAGATACAATGCTAAACAGCAGGTGTCAAATATGGCAATATTTTTAATGCTATCTATTAACATAATTTTAAGTAATAATCAAAATGTTTAATCAACACATATATATAATTTATTACCGGAAGGTTATAAGCACAGTTCTTCCGTACTGAAGTATATTTCTTCTCCTGCTCTAAGATTTGGGGTGGAATCTGGTTTTCATTATGTCCATTTTCTTGCTGCAAACCTAATGTACAAAGTTTCTTATAAAACTCCAAAAATCTCAAGTGTTGATCTGGAGTAAAAATTCCTAGAGAAATGTAAAACATTTGTTCAAGATTTTAATTAAAAATTAAAAAGATAAAAGCAAAGTACAATAAAAATTAGAACGAAGTATTTAAATAAATGGTTAGAGATCATAAATAACAGCAAGGAGGAAAAAGTAACTGTTATTAAGAAATCTAAAGGGTCTACTGTTTCACCTTATGTTGATTTTAATATTTTAATTTCAATAGCATAAACTATGTAATCCAAGAATTATGCCTGCATTAATTTCTGCAGCATATGTCACACTGCAGACCTAACAAGTCACTATAATAATAATAGTGTGACCATTATTGCTACTTACTTATGGTAAATATTCTAAATTGCCTGCTGAAAAGACATGTATATGTGCCTACAGAGGAGCTTGAAAATAAATCTGAAAGATAGCAAAATAAACTCAAAATATTATTTTTTCAAAATATTTTTATCGCCCTAACTGGTTTGGCTCAGTGGATAAGAGCATCAGCCTGCGGGCTCAAGGGTCCCAGGTTTGATTCTGGTCAAGGACATGTACCTTGGTTGTGGGCACATCCCCAGTGGGGGTGTGCAGGAGGCAGACGATCGATGTTTCTCTCTCATCGATGTTTCTAACTCTATATCCCTCTCCCTTCCTCTCTGAAAAAAAATCAATAAAATATATTTTTTAAAAATATTTTTATCAATAAACTGGTTCCACATTCATTAACTATGTTAGGGAGCTAGGAACTCAGTATGAATTCCAATATATTTTTCAACTACCCATTAAAAGCCTACAATCCACATAAAATGTTTTACTATGCTAGATGGTTATAACTTAATGATTACATTATTATAGTAAGCTAAGAACTGACTAATATATTCAAAGTGCCAAGAGTTATGGGTGTTATTCTACTTTCTAAGCTGAAAGTCTTATATTATACATTGAGACTTATTCAACAGATGATTAATAAGGGTATAACTATGTAACAATAGTTAATATGCCTGAGCTTTTTTTATCAGATACAAACTAACACATAAATATTCAGAAATTTAAAAGGCTACTCCTACTTCACTCTGTCACTGTTCTATCAAATCAGTTCTATTAGTAAAAAATGTTATTTCTAAATGTGTTCTAAATTATGCTACCAAAATTCTAAGATCTCTTAAGAGTTTACACACTTAAAGGGTAAATTTTACAACTGAATGGCTGAAGTTTAGTGACAAAGGTAGAAGAAAAAGGAAAAATTATCTATAACCTTGAAATTCTTAGGATACATCATACCGTATAGTCCATGGCATAGTTTTCCTAAATGGAAAGATAAGGAAATAAGAATTGATTCATCTGCTTTGAAAGATTTTTCACAAAATGATTTCACTAAGGGAAGTATAGTTTGACTTCTATCATCTGGAAAACAAACCGAAATAAAACATACTTTAGATCCATTGCTCACACTGCACATTTGGAAACTAATACATATACATAAATTCCAGAAAAAAATATTACTATGCTAGTCACACAGCAGTAAAAAATATCTGAAAATAATGAAGATGGCAGTGTATAGTGAAGAAAGGGTCAGAGGAGAATTGAAATTATCAAAAACTTTAATGCCAGGCTGAGGGAGTTACACTTTATATCGTGGGCCTTAGGGAATCCTTTATAATAAAAGGCTAATATGCAAATCAACTGAATAGCGGAACAACCAGTCGCTATGACGCACACCGACCACCAGGGGGCAGACTCTCAATGCAGGAGCTGCCCACTGATAGTCAGTGCCCTCCCACAGGGGAGCACCGCTCAGCCAGAAGCTGGGCTCACGGCTGGCAAGTGTAGCGGCAGTGGCAGGAGCCTCTCCCAACTCTGTGGCAGTGCTAAGGATGTCCGACTGACGGCTTAGGCCCGCTCCCCGTGAGCCTAAGCCAGTGGTTCTCAACCTATGGGTCGCGACCCCTTTGGGGGTCGAACGACCCTTTCACAGGGGTCGCTTAAGACCATCAGAAAACACATATATAATTACATATTGTTTTTGTGATTAATCACTATGCTTTAATTATATTCAATTTTTAACAATGAAATTGGGGGTCACCACAACATGAGGAACTGTATTAAAGGGTCACGGCATTAGGAAGGTTGAGAACCACTGGCCTAAGCCATCAGTTAGACATCCCCCAAGGGCTCCCAGACTGCAAGAGGGAACAGGCCAGGCTGAGGGACCCCACTTTCCAAGTGCACAAATCTCATACACCGGGCCTCTGCTAACATATAAAGTGATTACAAATTTAAAAGCTAAGATGATTGCAGTTTTGAGCCTGAATAATTAAAAGAATTCTAATATCACTAATACCAATACATGAGAAGCAGGCACAGAAAACCTTTCTGACTCTCTCTTGCATCCATCTCATGACTTTCTGCAGCTTTTTGATTGAAATTAAGTTAGCTTTATAGTATGTTCTGTACAGTGAATTTCTTCACTATTATTTCTTAGATAAGTCTTCTTTAAAATGCTGATTGATTTATTGAGTATGCCTGCTGAAGTCAAAAGTTTCTGATATATTAGTAATACTTAAGTCTTGATTCTAAATACTCTGAATTTCTCAGTTCTCTTAAACTTTCAGAAATAAATTACTATTTTATTAGGGGTCGGTCTGATGATATTAAGTAAAGTGCTATAACAGGCTTATTAGTATTATTGTTATTACTGTTACTAGAGGCTCGGTGCATGAATTCATGCAGCAGTGGGGTCCCTCGCCTGGCCTGCGGGATCGGGCCAAAACCAGCTCTCTGATATCCCCTGAGGGGTCCTGGATTGCAAGAGGGTTCAGGTCAGACTGAGGGACCCCACGGGTGCACAATCAGGGCTGGGGAGGGACGCGGGAGGTTGGCCAGCTGGGAAGGGCCAATGGGAGGGCTCCAGGGCATATCCGGCCTGTCTCGCTCAGTCCTGATTGACCAGACCCCAGAAGCAAGCTGCGTACTGGTCAAAGCTTCTACCCCCAGGTGGTCAATGCACATCATAGTGACTGGTCGACCAGTCAACTATCTGCCCCCTGGTGGTCAGTGTACATCATAGTGACCAGTTGAGTGGCCTTCGCATATCATTAGCATATTACGCTTTGATTGGTTGAACAGCCAACCAGACAACTGGACACTTAGCATATTAGGCTTTTATTATATAGGATTATAAACACATTTCAGTATCACCTATACTGTTTTAACTAAATGACATTCTTTAAACAAGCATTTATTTAATTTCTTACAGAACGAACATATTAAGTAACAAGATGAAAGATAAATGACCTCTGAACTTGAGAAAATGAGAGCAGCGAAGAAGCTAAAAATAAAGTATCATAAGATAGTGTGATCATAGTTTGCATAGTTGGTATAATGCAGGGGTCTGTTAACCTTTTTGGTAAACTTTCTAGGCTTTGCAGTTTATCTACAGAAACTACTCAACTCCGTCACTGTAGCACAAAATCAGCTACAGAGAATACATAAGCAGGAGGGCATGGCTATGCTCCAATATAAAGCCAGGTGATAACGGGAGTTGGCCTATAGGCCATAATTTGCCAACCCCCTGGTATAAGGGATTTGGAAAGATGTTAGAGGGGAAAATATATTAGAACTGGGCACTGGAGCAAGAGAAGTAGGCTAGGAGAAAAATAGAAGGGAGAAAAAACAGGTACAGAAAGAGCATGTGGAAAGGCTAAAGGTCTGAAAGAATTTGGTGTGCCAAGTGAGGAAATAAAGCCACGAATATAAGTTAGGCCCAAACTGCCAATCACCACGAGTGGGCCAGAGAAGGGGAAGAGATCAAAGATGATACCAATTTGCTAGTTTGGTTGCCTCGGGGTGCCCCATTATTAGGACAAGGAGATTCATTTTTTCAGTCATTCAATGTGCAGTGCAGTTTGTATGTCTCTGGCTCATCATACAGCCTAAATATTATTCTAAAACATTCATACATAATTATTGTCCACATTGCAATAATCTTTAAGAGACTCACAAATTCAGGTAAGCCCGGCCAGCGTGGCTCAGTTGAGCACTGAGCCATGAACCAGAAGGACATGCTCAGGCTGTGGGCTCAATCTCAGTGCAGAGTGTGCAGGAGGCAGCCGGTCGGTTGTCCTCTCTCTTCATTGATGTTTCCATCTCTCCCTCTCCCTCTCCCCATCTCTGAAATCAATTTTTAAAAAAATTTTGTAAAATTTTGTTAATCCAAGTCAATGTAATCATATAATTATGCAATAGAGTTTTATAGCAGAGTACTTGATATTTACCCCTGCAAATTTCATCCTACCAGAATGGTTAATGTTTACTGATAAACTGAAGTCCAGCATTAGTCAAGAGTCTAGTCATACACTCAGGAAGGAAGCTCATTGTCTTTGTGATTTAATTTGCACAACACTAAGAAATACCTCCTTACCCATTCCCATGTTAATGCCCCATTCCATTTTT